GCCTGAACAATATCACATAATCCCCATTCTTGTAATGCACTACACACAGCTGCAGCCTGTTCTTGCCTGTCGACCGCTCAAGTTGCGGAACATTTATAATTTGCTCGATATTCGTACTTGTTATCACAATTGGTAGTCGTTCTACAGTTGTATTTCTCATTTTAGTGTCTGGTAATAATTTCCCATCCCAATGTACAACCACTTAATTAGGTGCAGATTCTTTAAATCGTAATTTAATTAGTTCACTGCGCTCGCGACGATATATTTCTCGACACCTATGTATAGAAGTTTGATTTATAACATATTCCTCAACATTAAAATTTAAGGCTTCTAAAGTAGCTTGAAGAACATATACTGCATCCCGTATGCTTAACTGGCACCTATCTAAAGCTCCGGCTAGTTTTAGTGTAATAAAATTAATTTTTCCTCGGCATTTTTTTTTTTCTGGAGGGGGCTCTATTTCTAGTGAAATATTCATCTCTAATTCTGACGAATCACTACTTTCTGGACTCTCATTTTCTGAAGTACTATCAAATTGAATAAAATTTAATGACGAAGTTGAGGGACGATCTTTATTATAATTATCTTTTCTATTTGATTCATTCAACTTTCGTTGAACGTTCTTATTTTCTTTTACTGTTCCTGTAATATCTTTACCTAAGAGACATCCTGGACGCCCGGGCAAACGTTGGTTCAATAAAAATTGTCTATCAACGTCAATTTTTATTAATTTTAAAGCATCGGAATGAGCAATATCGAATAATAAATTTAATTTATTTTTAAAATCGTATTCTTTTAATCTATATGACTCACCTACTTTTGTAGAATTTTTTTGGAGACTGCGCCATTCATTATATAATTTAATTAATTTGTCAATGCAATGTTGAATCGCTCGAATAGGAATTCTTGCTTTTTCCCAAAAAATACAACATTCACGCACAGCCAACGCTGCACTTTCCCTAACAACAAGGTTAACAGTTCGCATATTGTAAAAGAATACTGAAAGCATTTGACCGTTTGATGGAAGCTTGGAACCGTGAATTTGTGTCTCTTCAGACCCGATTAAAAATATTTGATAATCACTTCTCAGTTTTTTTGACATTTTTTTATTTATAATAATACAAAAACGGGATCAATTTGAAAGCATACAACGACAAACGACGGTAAATGTTAGATCTTCACTAAACAGCTATTACGATCAAACTAACATTAATAATAAGGTACAATTGTACCAAAATAAGAACCAGACTTATCTTGCTATTAAAACGTAATATCAAAATAATTAACCATACGAATAGGTACTATCTAATCTATTGATATTTAATTTTTATGTACGGAAATATAGAGAAATAATTAGGTGAAAGAGATTAGATTAATACATTATTATTGTGAACATTATACTTGTATTGTGATTGTTATATTACCAGCGATAATATGAAGGCAAAAATACATAAAATAACTTTATAGAAAATTTCATATGGGAGATTTGCAAGAATTATTTTAGCCCGCACAATAATTCATAATTATGAAAAAATACCTAAATTGTGTTTTTTTGGAGTCAAGTCGAAATACTTCACGAACCATTGGAGATATGAAAAAATGTAATAAAATAAAAGTTATAACAAATTTAATTTACTTTAAAATATGTAATATTAAAAATATCGATATTTCTAAAGGTTAACGAAATATTTATGAAAATGTTAAAAATTTTCGTAAATATTGAAAAATGTATTAAGTTCAAACTTAAATCACAAGTCGGCACGGGTTAACCTTATCTGATCGAACCAAAACTTTTTGTAGTTCGTTTTTGTACATATAGGCACAATATTAGGGGGTGAGACCAAACATTTTATGATATTTTTTTCAGATCATCTATAGCTAAGGAACACCCTAATCTATATATATTGTATATGATCTAAGCTAATAAGTTTAGTAAGCACTAAGTACAAGTACTACTTACTTTATCAAATATAAAAAGGTTACCGGAAAGTTACGCAGTTTATAGCTATGAGATATTTTCGGTTTTTATTAATTTTTTTTTTTAAACTATTATATTTGATTATTTATAAGTATGCTAAGTAAGTATGCTAAGCTGACACAACTTTTCTACTCAAAATCGTTTATCATATTATACAATGATTTATCATTGATGTCAAATATGACAAATCCATTACAACGACATTCTCTACAACTACTTTAGTACCGTACAGTAGAGAGGTACCCACTTGACCACCTTTTTTTGTTTTTGAGTTGCAACAAAATAATAAAATCGATTTATTCGAAACTGATTTCCCGTTTTCCTGTATTTTTCTTAAACTAACAAAACATTTTTTATACATTCTTATGCATCTAAGTATCTAACAACATTTTTATATTTTTAATTTATAGAACAACTGGTAATTGTGAAGAAGTTGAAGATGATGGGACAGAGCATGATGACATTGTCGATATAGATAATGATATTTCTGAAGTATCTATGGTAGACCTTAATGTTTCATCTTCCTCAGCAATACATCAAACTCATAAGAAAAAAAAATCTGCAAATGTAACACCATTTCAAAAAATGTTGATTGAACATTTAAATAAAAATAAAGAAAAAGAATCGGATCCAGATAGACATTTAGTTATGTCATTTGTTCCATATTTAAAAAAATTGAATAATGATCAAAAATTAGATTTCCAAATTCATGCTCTCAAATATTTAAAAAATATAACTCAACCACAAACTACACCCGGTCATCCAATTCATGGTTCATACCCCACATATTACCCTCTGGCTCAAAACACGACTTCTAATATGCAATATCCTTATAATTCTTCTGTGTGATCCACACATCCATACTCATATCCATACGCATCTCAATCACAAATATCGGTACCCCCCATTGAAATTCCTATAAATCCCCTTAATTCACAATACTCCAACACAGAACATGCTATTCAAACCCAACAATATACACCAATATCGCAACTTTCACCATCTGATAATTTATAAATATAATATTAATTTTCACTTTGTATTCTATAACTTTAGGTACTATTAATTATCATTTTTTAGCTAGAAATATAATTATTATTATTAATCAACCAAGTAGGTTATGTTATCTTATATTAATTTTCATTGTTAATTTATATTATATATTATGTTACATAATAAATAAACATTTGAATTCAAAGTCATGACTTATGAGGTAATGAGTTCTATTCAAGTATTATATATTTTATATATATAATATTATTATTTTTAAAAAGAAATTTTTCAAATTGTTCAAGTTATTATAATTTATTAATATATATTTAAGATGTATTTATTTATTATATCGACCTGTAACAATGTATACTTAATTCCTATTTAAAATTGTATTTAAGAACAAAATTGAAATATATTTCATTAGTAAAACATAATAAATTAATTTTTTTTATCTATAATAATAATTATATTATCGTATTTTTATTACCTAATCCCTTTTAAAACTCGTCGAGTGTAAAAATTTGAAAATTAATATTTATACTTTTAGTGGTCTATTCAATACCTTTTAGACAGTTAAAGATTAAATATTCAAATAGGTACATATCGTTTCGATATTTAATAAATATAATTAGACTAATGATCATTGTTAATTTAAAAAAATAAAAATACATCCCTTCTAAACTATGAACATTGAACAGTATTCAAAATAAACTAAAACACTCGATATGTATTTTAAAATTTGTTTTGAACTTTGTTGATAAGCATGCATAATGATAGTGATACCTTAATGTGACTGTCAATCTTTCTTCAGCAGTTATTGGGTTACGTAAATGGGTAATCTCTTTAGTAATTTTTGTCCTCAATTTTTCTAATAGCTCTTCAAATGACAAAATTGACATACGATAATAATCAAAAAATTTTTCTGGGTATTTTTTGATTTCATTGAAAAAGGTTGTAAATCGCATATCACTCTCTCGACTACTGTTAAGTGGATGGACCCAGTATCTTCTACGTTTAGATGGAATTGGTTCATCAAGTTCACCTGCAGCTTCGGCCAAACAAAGAATTTCCGCGAGAGAACTCATTTTTAAAGGAAAAATCTTGAAAAATAACTGATAGAGCGAACAACACATCCGAACACTTTTACAGCAAATGGTGAACTACATCATACTTAGTACCCACGAACAAATTATTTTCTAACATTTTATTATGACATAACAGTTTGTCATACACATTTAACTATTTCATCGAAATCAAATCCATATTAGATATATTATATATTAATAATTCTTATTAATCTTTAGCAGTACCTAGTATAGTATAATAAAATAGTAATTTGTACGAGCTTAATTTCGATGAAATCAAACATAAACTAGTCTAATATTTACAATAACATATTATTTTAAATTAAAATATTTCCCACGCTTTTTAAATCGGCAACCGATAAAACGCGTAGTATGGTCGGTCTTCCCGATTGTGGTTGATCGGGATACATTTTATCGGCAACCGACAAAACGCATAGTGTGATCCGGCACTTATGTGGGCACGAGTCACGACAGATGACGGATTTACAGCATCATGTTATAAGTCCGAGAAAGGTATTTAAATCGAGCACGCGGTTCGCCAAAGTGAATTAAAAGATGTACAAGTGTACAACCGTACTCAACCCTCTGAATGGCGATCGAAAACACCACGACACTACCCACGCACAATTATTGGTATATCACTTAAAACGAGAATACTTGTGGACGCAACACGTGGAATAACCAAAAAATGTACCGCCACGCACGAATATTGACGCTAAGCGACGGGCCGTTGTACATCGGCACCGTCAGAACGTAGACAGACGGGCGGCACGGAGACGACGTCCGAGCCGTCCAGATTGTGTCATGAGGGGAGAAGGAGTCTAAAGGTCGAGACTCGCCGTGCTATCGTGCTGTATTGGTAAAGTTAGATAACACTGGGAGCGCTGTATGTCATTATTAAATATCCGCGAAAGTAGGATAGATTTTACCGCCAAACACTGATTATGAACAACATTAGGAGTTTATTTTTAGTTTTCGTATATTCGTATTCTTCTTTTGTATTTTGCACCAAGTTTGGATTGCTTATTGCTTACAAATGTAATGTAAATTTTAACAATGACCCAAATATAACCATAAAATCATTAGTAATTCAAACTTCTAAAATTTCTGAAATGCCTCATGAAATTACTGGGAAATTGCTGAAAGTGCAAATAAACAATTCAAACCAATTTAAATTAGATATCAAACAATTTTTTTGCTCGTGTAAAGCAGGTGCTTCTGAATGTTGTAAGCACACTGTAGCTGTCCCAGTAAACACTGAAACATCTATGAGACGTCTAATATACTTCATCCTAAAATGTTGGTGATGTATATTTGATAAAGGACATCTCCTTACATAGATGTCTAGAATAGGTCTATATGCATCGCTTTTTTGGGTCTACACCTAACTGATATTAGACATCTAAGAGTTGACATCTACATAACATCTACCATTAAAATGTCAAAGAGATGCATATTATTACAACCAAAATATAGTGAAAAAAAAATGCAAAAAAAGTCGGGATTCGGGCGGCCGTGTTAACCATATGGCAATGACGGTTTCGATGCCCGGACAGCGTACGACCTACGTGTTTCCTACCTAACACCTAACCTACTCGGACACAGTTTGAGATATGTAATACGGTCAAAACATCAACACTTAAGGCGGGTTTACACCAGGGTTGGGCAAATTTGTGTATAAAAGTTTTATACGTGTCAACGTATTTTACGTAACGTATTATACATTTTATATGGTATAAAACGTATAAAACAAATGTTTTTTTTTAAATATCATTAGTTAATAGTTATAACACCTGTTATATGGTGATTAAAATAATAATTATTGTAGTTATTTACACTGATTGTTGATGTTTTTTTATTAACTTTATTTAAATAAACACAAGTACAAAACTAAATAACTTGAGAAAATATGTTTATTATTAATTGACCAATTGTTATACATGTTCTTTCATAATATGTTTGTTAGTAATTTTGACTTTTAAATTTTAAGATACAATTTATTGTTTAACATACTAGGTAGGTTATTATTAATTATTTATTTATTAATACATTATACATTTATTTATTTATATTAAATATTCAAAATCAAATAATTTAGGTATTTTTCTATTTTTCTATTAATAATCTTTGGTAGAGTTTATATGCTTTTCTTCAATTTTAAGTGCATAGTAAAAACCTAATAGCTTCTTTGACCTTTCTCCTTCTAGTCTGTTTCGTAAGGGATTGTGGTCATATGACCAATTAGAAAATATTCTTTCTAATTGTGCTGTGGATGCTGGAAGATTCAAAAGTTTTTCCGCCATGTTTGATAAATCTTGATGTTTGTTTTTAGCTAGAGACCAAAATGCACCAGGAGTTAAATGTTGTTTCTCAAAAAGAATTCCGAAAATACCAGACTTTAATTTATACTCATGTAAGCTATTCAATCCATCATCACTTAATGTAGACAGTAAAAAATGTTCTACAATATCAACATGAGATTTATTGCTGCTGTCTTGACTAAATTTTAGTCCTTGATAAATAGGATGCAAAAAATTAGCCGTCAATGAAAATTCAGATAACGCATTATCCTTTCTTTTATTTAAGATATTTGAGAAAGTTTTATTATTTTTAAAGTCATCTGGTAATGTTAATGTAAGCCATAACTCAGCTGCATCTGCAATATTAGTTGTTGAAGATTGACATTTATTGATTAACTGGCATATTGGATCAAAAAGTATAACTGAATCTGAAACATTTTTAATAAAAATTTCGTCAATTAACAGTTGTTTAATAGAATTGTCAATTTTGTAGTCTCCATCAACCAAATTTTTTTTCATGGCTGGTAAATGTTTCTGCAAGTTAACAAAACTATCACGATATGAACACCATCGTGTATCACATGGTAACTGGATTCGAAAACCACCATTTTTAACCAACTCTTTTTCTAAATCTGGTCCATGAAATTCTTTGAGTACCTGTTTTACTTGACTACTTATACGAGATGCAACAAGATCTTTTGCTAACAAGTTTCCTGTATGCGAATTACAAGTTAAATGCCATATACTAGCTAAACGACCCATTTTCATCATGTTGTCATGTTGCTGAAATGACTGCATATATTTCTGTATTATATTTTTCTTTTGCCAAAGCAACACATACTTCCACAATTTTGGCAAGTTCAGTTCCGGTTTCACTTATTCCCGTAAAATCAAAAGATTCTAAAAATAAAGTTTCACCTGTAGCTGCATGGAGCATGCAGGCTACATTTTTTGTATTTGCATTTTCATTCTTCCATCCATCAATAAGTAATGCAGAAGAAGGTCTGAATTTCTTGTTTTCACATAATTTTGAATGCACATCGTTCAATAATCTTCCTGATAATACTTTTCTTGATGGAGGTTTATATGATGAGCGAAGGGCATTACAAACATTTTTAAAGTGTATGGAATCCACTACACTAAAAGGTATATTACAACCAAAAACAGTTTTGCTAAGATGATATTACAGATATCAATTTGAGCTCGTTTAATTTGATCACAAAATAGTTTAAGTGATCCAACTGGTTCAAGTCCTGTATTTTTAGTTTTTGTAATGTTGCATTTTTTATTACTTGAGCTGGATGAACTTTTTTCAATGCCCAAATCTGTAGATTGACTAGATTGAATTTCATCATTTTTATCCAAGACATATGACTGAGGTGTATTTAACTTTAACTCTGAGAACAAAATGGAAAAATCATCACTAGAACATATAGATATAGTACTGTCATATTTTTGAGATGGAACATGTTCTACATTTTTTAAGCGTTGTACTACCAAATCAAATGCACTATTAGAAGTATTAATGTTTGATTCCAAACAATTATCTGGATCGTCTTCAAATTCTTAAGAATTAAATGAGTTTCCCTTAATCTTTTTTCTTTCGTTTCTATCTGCCATTAAGTGTGTTATACTACTTTCTGAACTTGTCAAGGAAGAACTCTTAGTTTTATTTGAACCATCACAATATAAACACATATTTCTGTGAGATTTTAATCTCTCTGCACTTGTGTTTTTTAAGACTTTTTGGCAAAACAAGCAAAGAGCATTGAACTTATTACCTGAAAAAAGAACAAATAAAGATATTATAACTTATAATTTATAAGCTATTATATTATATTATAATTTCAAATTTGTGATTACGCTGTAACGCAAAAAAAACATCATTGTAAAAAAAAATACATTTTTCTAATTTTTTTTTATTTACAGTATTAATTGCTATTCACAGAATCTAAAAAAATACTTAGCAAATTTCAGATCAAAAAAGCTATTTGAACATAAATTTGTAATACACGAACAAATTTCATGAATTTATAAAACTGCCACTAGTTACAACTGTCAACACTTATTTTAAAACATACTTATTCTTCACAAATTTGAAAAAAATGTTGACATTTTTAATGTTTAATAAGAAATAATTTATAATAGTTACCAATTTTTTCATCTTGGATTCTTCGAAATCCTAGACTCCAAATATTATGTTGTGGACGTCCTCCAAAAACCGACATAGTATCAATGTTAAAATTATACAAATTATTACAATTTTACATTTATTACTTCGGCGTACTTACTGAATGACTTAATGAACTATGTAGACATGAAGTATGAATTATTGTGATATAGTAATGACGGTTATTGCACAATCATCATTCAAGATAGATAAAGAACATTGTTTATCTATCTCTATGGGTATTATCACTATTATCTATAATAGCCACGGACTAAGATAAACAGGACTGGAAACGATAGACTGGGGGGGTGTGGTGGTATGGCTCTCAAATGTTTCGGTTCGGTACAATCGTGACTGTAACTGCTACCTAGTGTACTACACAACTACTAAATTGAAGCTATTAAAAGTACAAAAACATTAATTCGTATTTTAAGAAACTAACTATTTAAAGACTAAAGTTTATAGTTTTAGTTTAAATTGTTTAAAATACATTTTAAAAATGCCTCGGCAATGTTCCGTGATTTTGTGTAAGAGTTTAAAAGAAAAACATGTAACATTGTTCAAAGTTCCTGCTACTGATTTCCATTCTTGGAATGAAATTATTGTCAGAATAAATGGGGCTTATAATAAACATAAAGTGTCCTACGTTTGTGCTGAACATTAAAAAGAAGTACTTACACAAATTATTTCAAATTTTATAATCATGAGAATGCAACAGTATTCATTAATAACAAATAAAAATGCTAATAAACTTAATGAAAAAAAAAAAGCTAGCTAAATTAGTAAATACATAGTAATAAATAATTATTAACTATGTTCTAATATTTGTATATAATATTTAAGATTATTATAAAATAATATATTAATATGTATTATTATTTTAAAATAATTTATGAGTTATTTTATACACAATCCTTTATTCGAGAATAAAATAATTAATTTAGTACTAAAATTAGTATACAGTACCTACTAAGTTTCACTAAAATCACTATATTATCTTTTTCCTGGTTTATATTCATAAATCCAAGCCTTTATTAAGTCCACTAATTACTTTATTACAGTTTTTACTTTTTACTGTTCTTGAAGCTCCTTATTTTTGGGGTGAAATAAAACAAAAGTCTTACGAAATGTTATGAGCACAACAAACTAATCACCAATTCTTTAAACTTAACTTACATGTTTCTATATTAACTTAACTTAACGAGTTAAAAAAAAAGGTAGTTAACTTGCCCAGCCTTGCTATAAACTACCCATATTACCTAAGTTAAAATTATTGTTAACATTTTAAAGCATGAAAAAAATAATAAAAAATGTTCTGTTATTATAAAGCAACTGATTGTTCTGTACATAGATAGCGCTAGGTACACACATTGTACCTTTTGGAAACATTCACGGACCACTGATAAGGCCTTCGTTTCCAGTCCTGTATATCTTAGTCCGTGATAATAGCTGTAGTTACTTTATAATGATACATTTTATAGTATTAGATACTACATACAGTGTAGCCAACGTGCAATGACTATCTAAAAATTTACAATATTATGAATTGGGGCTATAAAATGATAGTAACTGTTATCAGAAAACATATTTTGTACCCATGTTTAAAACATACGTATCATTGGACGTTTAATACACGATGTATAATACATCAATTATACAATCCGGTATAATACATCCCAACCCTGGTTTACACTATACACGTTTGCCGTGTATACAAAAAATGTTCAGCTATGTCCAACAACACGGTATCGTGGTTAACCGTGTGGTAACTGATCGTAAACAGCCAATAACAGCAAATGATTTGTATGCACGTACTTGCATCCGTGTATAGTGGAAACCCGCCTTTAAGCCGTGCGTCTACGGAGCGACGTAAACCGATATATTCGATGTACATCTATATAATCGCATATAATTCGCTTGTAATACGCGCATCTCCCATATATATATTTTACGGGGCGTGTGAAAAGCGTTTTCCTTTAATAATTATTAAATCATAGGGAAAAATTAAATATTATACACGTATATACATGTATATATACGCGTACGGTCGGTCGGTCACCGGCGTAATTTCTAAACGCGATTGCGAGGCGAACGAACCGATTTCGGGGGAAAAGCGCATATAAACGGCTTTAAAAAGACGTCGACTACACGATTCGGGCACAAACGGCGTGTGAATAGACGAAACGGTGGGAGAAAAGGAAAAAATCGGCAAAAAAGTCCGGTCGGGAGTGTATTTTTCGATCGACATTGCAACCGCATTATTATATCTATGGCTGAGACGAGCGTATTTTGATATCCCGCCATCCCGGTTATTTAGAATTTAAATTGACTATTATAATAACTGTCTATCCATCTATTATACTATGTCTAAAATCATCTACATATAGACATTTAAAACGATCCATCCAAAATCGTCAACCAATGGGTAGATGTTTAAATCTGTCTATTTTTAGTATATTATAAAATACCTAAATCATCTAAAAATCATCAACTAATAGACGTCCAAAATTGTATATCTACAGTCTTTTATAAAATGCATATAAACCCTCTACAAATCGTGAACCAATAGATGTCTAAATCTGTCTATTTTCAGTCTAGTACAAACTGTCTAAAAATCATCTACCATTAGACATTTAATATAATCTAATCAAAGTATTTTTCATTAGGTCTAGCAGACATTACATTAAAAGATGTTATAAACCATCTAATTGTGGTGTATACAATAGACCGTAGACGTTGTAGACGCATGCGTAGACGGATAGACGTTTAGTATACCTAAAATAGATTATGTGGGTTTGCTGGGGTATTATTACATTTAAATATGTAGGTACAAATTTGTTTGATTTTTAATTTTGCTTTGAGATAATAAACATGTATTTATACACAGAACTTATTTAGAAGACTTAAGTTACCTATCATCGACAGATGTCAAGTGCCAATGGAACAAATTGAAGCAGCCATCATTGCAGCAGTATAAGCCTGTACCAATAGGTAAGTTCAAAATGCATATATAGGTACCTAAAACAATTTATTTATATTTAATATACAGTATGAAAATGTCAATTATTAATTGTTAGCTTGTCAAGTCTTGAAAATTATTGCTATTATGTATTACTTCATGGCTTAAATATACAAGGTTATTGCACATAGCCATTATTGTTATCAAATAAAATAAAATGGTAGCGTAAGGGTCACGATTCTTTATCAATTATTGTTATCACTTAATTATATAATGTAAACATAATATTTAACTAATGCTGTAATGCATAATATTGTAATATTTTGTAATGTATTTAATGTTGGATCATTACCAAGTAGGATTTATTAATTTATTATACACTGTTTACCTTTTTTTTTCAACTCAACTACTCAACTAAATAAGTCATATTAATAAAGGTGAGGGATAATGAATGTGTAAAGGACTAGAGAACATAATATGAAAATACTTCAATTGTTTGCACAACTTTTGAATAGGTAGGTAACTATTTTCTGTATTTATGTGTTTTTACATTTCTAAATTATTTAATTTCTATTTTATTAAAACTAAAATATTTTATTTTTTACTTTTATGTATTATAAGATTATTGGTTGGTGGTATGAAAATGACTTGGTTACTGGAGGATGCGTGTAGTTTAGGTATTATGTTGATGACTTTGTTCAATTTTTTCTTATTTTTCTTCATGTTGTCATATTTTTGTTTATTCTCAGCATTAATAGCACAAACTAAAATAAAAGTTCTTGTACGTATTAAGTATAATAAAACCTTTTCTGGTACCGGTAAATCTCCTTTATAATAATTTATGACTTTATCAGCTATTTTTCCAATTATTGAAATGTCTTTAGAAAAGTATTCACCATGGAATTGTATAAAAAAATGCTCCATTACCTTGGCCACATCCATCAATTTATTACTGGGCACTGTTAAGTTACCTCTTGAAGCATAAGCTATCCAACTAGAACTATTCATATCACCATTAGACATCAAGTGTGGATATTTAGCTCTGAAATGATGCGCTACAAATCCAGTGATATATTCTAAGCCAGCCATTGATATAATATCATTATTGATATTCTCATTCATATTTTTTATTTCAAAATCAAATTCATCTTCATCAAATATTAAATCATTGCCATCAAGTATTGCATCAAAAATTGATTGTGTAAGTATAATGTCTTTCTCAGCTTCATTGGCATTATTTTCATTTGAAATGTTTTTATTTTCTAGAAGTTCGGTGGATAAATTATTTGTCATAACATCATCTTCAACATTTTTATGCAAACTGAATACTGCCGAAGAGTGTTTTCCCAATATATATTTTTTGAGTCTATAAATAAACTCTAATGGTCCTGGATGGTCAAATGAGTGACCCATAGCTCGTAAGTATGAAAATAAATTTTCTAAAATATCTTGATTTAATCGACGAGTTAATATATATGTTATACCATTGAATCGATCCTGAAAAAGGAATAAATTAGTATAAATGTAGTTTTTACAATTTTAAGAACTTATAAGCTTTTTTGTTACTATTATCTATAGTCATTATTTTAGTTAGTTAAATTGTATTTATATATCTTATACATACATATTAGGTATATATATTAGTATAAGGTCTATGATTGTATTAAATGTATAGTAGTAGTAGTAGAAGTATTACTTTATTAGTAGATATATTGTTATTATAATAATAATAATTATTATTATTGCAGAACAAATTTTAGACTACTGGAAATTTTTTTACCTGTAAGTATGGCAAAAGTTGTATAAGTGATGAATTACTTATTAGTATACCATGTTGGAAAGGCAACATTGAACAATGCTTATTGACTCTTAAATTTTCAATTATTCATGACATTTTCTTCAATAAATCAATTTGTTTATCTAGATCCTTTCCAAAAGCCGGATGTGGTCCAAATTGGTTGTTAGAATTGTGAATATCGAACCAGTCATTCACCATTTGAATAAAGTCAGATGTTATTTTGTAACAATTCTCTGCACCTGTTCCATTAAAAAGTTGATTGTCACCAACAAAAAGTATTGCCTTGGCTGTATTTGCATATAAAACTCTTGCTGCCGCTTTTACATTTTGTCTTTCACTCCCTTTAACATCTAGTAAAGTCTTTGATAGTTTCCATCCAGGTTTCAATTGTGCTGTTTGAATTTCCACTAGTTTATCCAAGGGCTTTCTATTTATAACTTGACCATCAGCAAGTATGAGATCATTATCTAATAAATGGTTTCTTATAAGCTTAAGCAAATGTGGTGTATCTGCAAAACAAAATACCTTTTCACCTGGAATACTTGGATTCTCAAAATATGGTTTGGTTGGAGTTATATCTAATTTTTTATGAAGGCCTCTATTTTTTGGTCCCATGTCTGACACAAAAGCAACTACTAAAAACCCAACATCATGGAGTTTTTTATCCGACATATCACAATCAAAATCGAAGAAGATTGGTTGCTTCCACTGGCTAAATAATCCACGTGCACACATAACTTGCACATTATTGCAAGGTCCTAGTATTCTCTGTTCTTGAGGTTCATATTCAATTCTATTATGTAAGTACATTTCATCAAATGATAATATTGTTATATTTTCTGTCATATTTTCAGATTTTCCTTTCATTACAGAAAAAACATCAATAAAACCAGGACGCAAAGTCATTACTTGTGTTCTTCGACAGAGGGTTGATATTGATGGCAATGGAAAATTTAATTTTTTGGAGAGATATCTGTATGCCTTTGGACTTACACTTTGAAGGCTGATTGCACTAGAAATATCCTCAGAAGACCACCAAATTTTTTTTTTTCCAATCTGGACCCATATGAATTGCTTTCACTTGACCAGGTGAAAAAAAATTAGATAAAACAGAAGCTATGGACTTAGCTCTTGAATCAGATTTATGTTGTACTTCAATCAATTCATTTTCCAGTTTCTTATTCTCTTCTTTTGCCTTTTGATTATCATTTCTTAATTGTTTATTAATACATTCTATTTTCTTTAATTTTGTCTTAAGCTCTTTGATTTGTGTTTCAGGATTATTACTGTAAAAATTAATGATTTGATTTAAATTATTTGTACACTTCGACACAATAATTAATAAGTTACTATTTACTTGTGAATTATAAATATAACTAATTTAATTAACATACTTTTTTGGTCTTCCTATTTTTGGTAATCCACATAAACTTTTTCTTAAACGTTTAGTCCGAAGAGTTAACTGTATATTATAAAAAATAGTTTACTTTGCCATAGCCAGTAAATGCGGATAACTAACACCATTGCGTATGGATATGTTTTCTGTTTTGTCAACTGTATACAGTGTTTCAATATCACCCAGGTGTCTAAATTAAAAGATAATACTGAAATAGTTTTCAGTAACAAAATGTGATTTAAATTGTATTATATTTTTACTATATTTGTAGTAATATAGATGAAGACTTGTTTAAATGTTTATCATTAAAAACTGTTGGAACTGCACATTTTTTTAAACGCAATCTTTCTCGTTCAACTTCAGATAGAAAATACATTTCTTTTTCAAAGTGTTCTGCACATATATATCCTATGTATAAATTAAATGTTTTTTATTAGATTACATAAAATTCAAGGCTGGACAAGCCTGGATTAACCAGATAAAATGTTTCTATTACTATTTACTAAACATATTAATTTACCTTTCTCAACTCCGGTGGCTTTTATCCATTTTTCCTTAAGTATGGGGTCCAAAGGAAATTTATGGAAGGAAATATTTGTATTGGAATTCCAATTATTACAGCCTAAAAAAAATGTTATAAACTAATAATATATTTCTTGTTGTCTATTGTTGTAAATTTAATTTATTATAATAAAAGTATAACTGAAAACAACTATTACCTTTTACAGCACATTTTTTTATCCCCATTCTTCTTTTTAATGTCAACAAATTCAAAAATCTATATTAAGTTTGTAGTTTAAGCCACTTGTTACAAATTGTTCTTACATGATATGCAAAGAATAATTAAAATAAACTCTTAACAACGACAGTTTGTTAATGTCACATTAATAATGTGGAATGAGCTCATTCATGGATATGAGGGAACAAATGTTAATGGTTTGTTGTGACTACTAGCAATATATTAATAGGATATTTTATTTTTACATATTTTCAATATTTTATATTAATTCTGAGAATTAGTAATCTATAATATATTATATTGTTTACAATTTGAATGGACAAATAAAATTAGAATCAAATAAATGTTTAATATAGGTACACATGGTAATATTTCAGCTGTTATAATAGCTTTTATTTTCAATTATTCATTAAGTAGTGTAAACTTATAAGTACCTATGTCTGGATTAGTGAATACATAGTTTCATCTTTCATAATTAATAAATAGGCATAATATATAATTGTATGATGTATTTATTACAAATATAAAACAATTTATTGCAAACAAATCAAGCAATAAGTACAATATTAATATACAAGACAATCATTTTAATTATAGTATACAAATTAAAGAAAATATTTGTTACACTCGGTATAGTAACAGTTTAGTATAATATACTGCATGAATGATAAATATGTTAACATTTTGAATATGCCGCCAATTCATATAATATACAGCCAATCAAAACATCGCCCCTTACGCTGCCATTTTAATTTCTTAACAAGATAAAACGATGTAGTGGGGGTACTACTGCAATAACCTTGTATATTTAAGCCATGTATTACTTATAAATTATAACATCAATTATCTTAATCAATCATATTTTTTTTATGGATATCAGGTGATTATTGTTGTGTGAACAAAATCTGTAGAACACCAAGTGATCTAAATAGTGTATCTATTGGTTCAAATTTCATTAGGTATGGTACTTAAACATTGTATTACAGCTTTATTATCTTTCTAGCACATATTGGGTGGCTTTGTATAAATGTATTATTTTTTCTAGAAATGAATTCATTAGTTTCTGACACAACAGCTTTAGCACTACATGCCAAAGGTAGAAATACTTGTTTGGACAATCCAAAATTGGCACCATGTCCAGTAAATGTGGATTTATTTCCTATAACTGAACATGTACTTCTTACTTCTGTGGAAGAATATGCAGTATTAAACTTAGGAGATTGCTGCCAGAAAATGATGTCCATACTCATGCAGTATGATTTGGTATACATCAGAAAAATAAGTGAAAATAATAAGGCATTTTGGCATAGTATCAGACAATTTAGAATAACTGGCAGCAGGTGTTACCAGTTAGGGTCGGGCCACACTGCGGTATTTTCGCCGTTGAGGCCGAACGGTTTTACCGCCGCGGTTTTTACGTTCGTGAAAAACATCCATGTTTAAATTTAGCGCGCCATACACAGCGGTTTTACCGTTCGTCGCCGTTCGCCGCCGCCGCGTGCCGCTGCATGCAGCGGTTGAACGGCGATGCCGTTTCGCCGTTTGCTTTAATATAGCACTATTTCAAATGACATGTGTCACACTGCGGTGCCCGTCCAACGGTTTGAACCAAATTGTGTATTCGATTTCCGTGAATAAAATTTATTAATTTTTTTTACCCTTGTGCATTTTTTACATACTACATAAAAATGATTGACGTTGAGTGCTTAATAATGGAGATTGAAAAGCATGAATGCATTTGGAAAACCACTTGTAAAAGGTTTTTGGAAAGAGACACAAAAAGAAAATCTTGGATAGATATAGCAATGAATATGTTTGAAAATTGGGAAACATTTTCAATCAAAGAACAGGAAGATAAAAGTAAGTTGTATAACATATAGGTAACATAGTATAATATAGTATTTTTATAATTGTACTGTTTACACATGTTATTTAAAAATAAATATAAGATTAAAATATTAATAATTTAAAGTTTTAAGAAATCTCAAATATTTTTAAAAAAATTATAATATTAAATACAATTTCTTATACAAATCTATATTGAAATGGAACAGATCCAGCCTCTAAAAAATAATTTGCAAAATAGTCCCTCACATCTTTGCCTTATGAACGACCTCCAGTATCATTCTGATGTACTTCTAAATTATCTAAGCTATTGCTTAGCGTATCTTCAAAATTGACACCGTCTCTCCTTCTGACAAAATTGTGAAGTATACAACAAGCTTTAACAATAATATCGGCAAAATCCGGTTCTTCATTTATTGCTGTATGTAAAACTCGCCATTTATTTGCCAGTATGCCAAAAGAACACTCTACATACCTTCTTGCTCTTGACAACCTATAGTTAAAAATCCTTTTTCTTCGATCAATACCACGTCCCGGAAAAGGTCTTAATAAATTTTTATGTAGACCAAATGCTTCATCTCCAATTACTACATATGGCTGAGGGTTGTCACTGGTATTTGGCAAACAAACCGGTGCCGGTAAGCCAAGTTGTTCCGAATATAAAAGTTTACCGAAGGGACATTCTTTAAAAACAGTGGAATCAGCTTCTCGTCCATATGCACCTACGTCGATAGATATAAAGCAGTATTCTGCGTCCACTACTGCCATTAGAACTATCGAGAAAAATTTCTTATAATTAAAATAAATTGATCCCGAGTTTTTAGGATTGACGCATCGTATATGCTTTCCGTCAACAGCTCCCACACAGTTGGGAAATTGGGTTTTTGTAAAAAATTTGTCTGCTACATCACGCCACTGTTCGGAACTTGGTTTTGGCATTTCAGCTTGCTGCAGAACATTCCAAATTACTTCACACGTTTCTTTAATAATGTTGCTAATAGTGCTTCTACCAAGTGAAAATTCATATTTTAAGGCAACAAAATTTATGCCAACGGACAAAAATCTGTAATATAACATAATTTTAACTTAAATAACTATAGAAAAAATTGTTTATATATTTTTGAGAATTTTTGGTTACAGTATGAACTATGAGAAACCTTGTATTCAATTTTCTTATTTTAAATATAAAAAAGGTGGGTAAGTGGATGTCGCTCTGATGTACAGTAGGTTACAAGTGGGTCATTGTAATGGATAGTGTTAAATTTGAATTCAATGATATATCATTGTATAAGAAAAACGATTCTGAGCGAAAACGGTCAGTCAGCCTATGACATTACAAAGTATATTTGATGATTTTATTGTGAATAAAGTAATTTATATAATATAACCTATTTACGTAGAACCTTGTTTTAAATTTTCAATTCTTAGCTATAAAAGTTGAATATTTTATACATTTTTAACTACAAATAATTATTAAATTTTAAATTAGATAAATTTTGTCAAAATTCAAACCTTAAAAAAAAATTGTGCCTATGTATTTTTAATATTTTTCAAATGCCATTTAAGTAATATAGTAGGAGCTTTGTTTTAAATTTGCAAGCTTTTTTATACAGCAAATACACAACATAAAACATTAATAGAAAAAAACCTAAAAAAGTTGGTAAGAGAGTATATCCGTAAACAGCTCAAAACAAGTCAAAATATTTTGAAAATGTTTTCATTTAAAGTAAAGGCTGATATAAACATTCAGTGAAAATTTCATGTACCTATTTACGATAATTTTTTTTAGAGTAACACTAAAAGCCAAATTCAATTTTGTCAAAAACCGATTTTGCGTAAAAATTCCCGTTTTTCCTTAATTTTTATTTTGTTTTTCCGGGCGCTTTGGAAAACTATTGAGAATTTTAAATTTTGACCTCCCAAAAGTACCAACAAGATTCACTTTCCCGTTGAACAAGATACTGAAGTTGAAAATCAAAGCATTATTTCGACTACTAATCGTGTACACAGACACAAAAATAAAAAAAACACACATCATTGTAAAACCAATACATTCATCGCTCCACTCAGAATCTAAAAAAAATTTATATGAATTTCAACTCAAAATAATTTTAGTGGAAATTAAAAAAAAGTTTTAGGTAAATCCACAATAATATTTTATGAACGCCTGAAGTTCAAATTTTTATATAATTCGCAAAAATCTCGAAAATTTAAAAATCCATAAAAAAATTTTTTTTGTACCTTAGATTTGAAAATTTACTACAAGATTCCTCAACTTTTGTCTACCCTAATCAAAGAAAAAATATATATCTGCTGGAAAGTCAAATGAATTTTTATGAGCGATTGAAATGTTTACACCATTGAATATTAACTATATTGATCACATGGAGACATGGAGTGATTTTTTAATTTTATTGTAGTTTAAAAACGAATGATTACTTAATACAATTTTCAAAACATTGTTAATCGTTTTGAGCTGTCCATAGACATTTTCAATTTTCAATTTTTTTATTTTTTATCCTTTTTCCTATAAATGTTAATAAAATTGTATTTGTTGGATCAAAAAGTTTTACAGTTTAATAAAAAGCTTCTGATATATTGCTTAAATGGTATTTGAAAAATATTAAAAATACTAAGAACAATTTTTTTTATAAGCATTTAAAGTTCAAATTTTGACAAAATGTATCAAATTATTTTGTGGTTAAAAATATATAAAATGTTTAACTTTTATAGTTACATTTTATAGCTATTATTACGGAGGTACAAATTAATATTAATTTTAAAAAAATGTTAATGTATGTATCCTATAATTGTATATATATTATATATTTATAATTTAGTCGAAGAGTTAAAAAAAAAATGGAAGAACATTCGAGATAATTACACAAGGGATGTTAATGATTCAAGACGAATTGTAAGTGGCTCTGAAGCGCCAAAAAAAAATAGAACATATGCATATGCAAATGTTTTATCGTTCTTACGTCCTATTGTAAAAAAAAGAAAGTAAGTACCTGCAAAAGTAAAATTATTAGTTAGATCATTAATAAATAATTACAATTTTCAACATATAATGCATAGAATTAATTGTTACATATTTTATTTAGTTGATATTTAGTAATATTTACTGAAATATAAATCAGTCTGTGCATTTTTTTAACACATTAAGTAATAAATTAGGGTATACCTAATATATGGGTAACATAAACAATATAAAACACGATAGAGAATAGGAAACACCTCCAAAATTATTATTATCAACAGTAAACTTATAAGTAATTATTAAGTATCTAGGTAGATTTACTAGGTATGATTTTATGTTTTTTTTAGAACAACTGGAAATATAAATCATACCATGGACAATGCATTAGATGTATCGTCAAATGATAACGAAGTCGATGTGGAAGGTAATTCATCAAGTTTGGAAACACCATTGGAATGTAGTGTTACTAAAACAAAGTTGTCGTCTAGCTCTAAAAAAAAAGCTCAAACCACTTCATTTCAAGATGCTTTACTAGACGCAATAACTAACCCTTCGTTATTTTTTCAAACACCACCTGAAGTTGATGACCCAGATAAAGCATTTTTACTATCATTTTTACCGGACATTAAAAAACTAAACGATGAACAAAAAATGGAATTAAAATTTCAATTTTTTCAATCCCTCAGAACCATTACCCAATCAGCTTCTCAACCACAAAACATCTATAATAGTCCTTCCAGTTCAAACAGTTCAGTATATCACCACAATATGTCTCCAAATTTTCCATATCCTTACAGCTATAATAGACCTATAGGATCATCCACTGCGACTACATCATATGCATTTCCAGAACCACTCACTCAAAATTCCTCATACACTGGACCACCACAAACTCTGCAAAGTCTCGAACAATCTAATAGCAACCAATATGTATTTAAATAATTTTCCTTAATTTGTTAAGTCCATATCAAAGGCTGATTGACTTATACATAATAATGTAATATGTAATTTTATTTTTTGTTTTTTATTTTTTATCTATATAGAAACTTTTTATATAGGTATTTCAAAGAAGAATGAATTTTTTCAAATTTTAAAAAGTGATATGTTTTTTTTTATGTTATTCATTTCAAACAAACTGTTAGTATATTATAATATTATATTTAAATATAATTTATCGGAAATTACCTTGTTAAATTTTGTGATAACTTACTTTCCCACAAAAAACACACAATAGTCTTAATTTTATAGTTTAATATATTAATTGATTAAGTAAGGTATTTTAATTAATATTGCTTGAATCTACTTTAAATTACCTCAATGTAACTGTGAGACGTTCTTCTGGACTTACGGCGTTACGAAATGCAGTGTTTTGTTTTTTTATAAATGGTCGTATTTTTTCCAATAGTTCGTCAAAAGAACTGATTGACATTCTATAATATTCAAAAAAATTTTCAGGATAACACCTTATATTTTCATAAAACATAAGAAATTTTTTTGATTCTTCACGGTCTGAATTTATTGGATGCACCCAGTAGTTTCGGTTTTGCTTGGGTGGATCTAGCTCTCCACAAGCTTCAGCAATGGCAATTACTTTGAGTAAATTGTAGTGGTAAACAGCACGGTTAAAATTCATTCTTATTAAATAAGAAATTTTAAATTGATTAAATATATTTCTTAAATATTTAATACGTATTATCAAGTACATTATTTACTCAATAGGTAATATTTATAATATTTTTGATACTTACATATTATTAGCACTCTGCATTTTAATTGATATCAATTTATAGATGGGTTCAAAAAAGAATGTAACAAATAAATTATTTTAGAACTTATAATTACTATAAATACAAAGAAATAATTATATATTTCTAGGTTATAAGATATTTCAGTTTATATCTTCAGTTTATGAATAAATGAACAAAATTACGTGTGCACATCACCAAATTCCAAATGGGAATAAAACGAAAAAAATGGAAACGCCAAACGGTTTTGCCGCAATAGTGTGGCGCAGCCACTCGAACGGTTTTTCAAGCGCCGGCGGTAAAACCGTTCGGCCTCAACGGCGAAAATACCGCAGTGTGGCCCGACCCTTATTTACTTATGGTAAACGTCAACATACAGATGGAGAATGGGCTATAAAAATAAGTAAATATTTTTGGCCTCAAGTATTCTCTAACAAGTTTGTGAAACATGGAATACAATATGAACTAACAGCAAGAGATGTGTACATTAAGAACACTGGTAACAATGTTATTATAAGTGGTTTCATTACATCAAAGAAGTGTCCATGGTTAGGCTATTCTCCATATGGAGTAGTCTTGGATACTTTGAACAACCCAAAAAAGCTCATAGAAATAAAATGTCCGTTTAAAGGAAGTTTGGTTGGTTTAACAGAACTATTGAGTAATGTTAACTTTCTAGTTCAAGGAACTGATGGTCAATGAAAACCTAAAAATAAACATGCGTACTATGCACAAATTCAATTGGGGATGATAATGTTAAATGTAAATAATTGTGATTTTATCATATTTGATAGTTTAGAAAAATCTATTTTTGTTATAAATGTTGAAATTAATATTAATTTCTGTACTGATTTATTGTTAAGTTTGAAAATTATTTGTTTTGAGAGAATGATACACGAGTCTTGTAACCATAATATTAATGTATAAACAATTTACAATTTAGTTTTAATAAATATATTACATTGAAATAGTTAAGTTTTTTACAATCGCTTAATTGCTTTCTACAATTAATAATATCTATTAAAATTGTACATGTGATTTAGGTCGAAATATAAAATTTAGGTACATAAAAACATTATTTCACTTATATAATGATAATTATACATAATAAATAATATAACTTCAAATTATAATGACATCAAAAAAAGACAAAATATAAATAATTAAAAGGTGTTATAATATTAGACATGGGTAGTAATATAAATAGGCAGTTATTCAAATTGTGTATTAAATTTGTCGGCAGAAAATATTGGACTTCCTAAATTACAAATGCCACTTATAATAATCATTATATCATGTGCTAAATGTGCATGCCCCTAACAAAATTTATTTTGAAAAATTTTAAACACCTTAATTCGTTGATTTATGCGTTCTATATGAACTCTAGCACTAGCGATACTTTTAAATTTTAATGCTTCTTCACGAGTAAATTGATTTTTGCCTTTTAAGAATGGAGGTCTTATTAAAGTAATACTTTTTTCATTACATATATTGTCTATTTTAAACCCACGATCTACCATTAGAGCATCCTGTCTATCCATTAATGATATTAAGTTACTCTGTTCAAAAATGACATCCAGCTGAAGATATTCCAATTAAATACTTGATTGTAAAATTAGACTTATAAGTACTATACAGTTTTATTCTACATGACAAGCATTTTGGTTTTTAAACTGTAATCTCAGTACAACCTAAAATAACCCGTACATTTTTGTATTTCTCAAAACAATAGGGAATATTTGACATAATTTCAAATTTTGATGGCCAATAAATTAAATTTTCAAAAATACTACCTAAAAGAGGTATAGTTGAAATATATATGGACCAACAAGTTGACAAACTGATATTTAAAAAAAAAAAAGCTAACACGGCAAAAGAGATATCTTGTTTCAGTTTTATAAATACTGAAATAATTCTTTCCCGTACGCCTAATTGATGGGTTCGAATATCTGGAAACTTTGTACAAAATAATTCAACAATTTTATCAAGAACTTGAAAAGTAGGTATCCCAGTCATTGTAATTAATTTTGCTTTGGTGTCTAAGAGTGATACAAATGGAACAGAAATTTCACCAGTGCATACCTACTTGTACAGCAAAGTCTCTTGATTCTACAGATGTCCATGAAATTATGCTCGACCCGTATCTGAATAGAAATCCTGACGTTGAACGTCGTGTCTGAACGTCACCTGCGTAATCTGAATCGCTAAATATTTCTAATGACAATTGTGTATTATGATTAAAATACAAGCCATAATTAAATGTTCGTTTGACATATCGTATAATCCGTTTTACCAAGTTCCAATGAGCTTTAGTTGGTTTTGCTAAGTAACGACTAGCAAAGTTTACTGCATATGCTATGTCTGGTCTCGTTACCTGTGATAAAAACAGTAAGCTACCTGCCTGCCTGCCTATAAGGTATTTCTTCACTTAATATCTAAGATTCTTCCTTTTCTTCAATAGTATGTGATTTGTCTATCGGAATTGAAAGTTCCTTGGCGTCCAGCATATTAAATTTATTAATTATGCTACATGCATAATTTGCCTGATGCACAAATAATGAACCATTTTTCATTAAGTTTACCTGCATACCTAGAAAATATTCTAAGTTTCCCTTTTTAACCTCAAACTCTGTCTCCAAGTTCGTTAAAAATTTCTCTATTATCTCTTAATTATCTGCCGCGATTAAACCATCGTCAACAAATATTGCAAGAATAATTTGGCTGTTATCAGCTTTGAATATACACGCATCCAAAATGCATTCAAAAAGTTCTTAAAGAGTATATTCCAACGTCTTGGACTTTGTTTTAAGCCATACAAACTTCGCTGAAGCTTACATACTTGATTTGAGCCATCTTCGTAACCTGGTGGTTGTACCATGTATATTTCTTCCTGTAGTTCCCCGTACAGAAATGCTGTCTTGATGTCGAATTATCGTAGAATTAATTTTTCCACAGCTGCTATTGCGAATATCGCCCTTATTGATTCGTATCTGACCACTGGCGAAAATGTTTCATAGTAATCTATACCATATTTCTGTGAACAACCCTTAATGACCAATCTGGCCTTAAATTTATCTATACTACCGTCAATTTTATATTTGGTTTTGAACACCCATGCATTTCGTAATGCAACTTTATCCTGTGGCAAATCGACTAGAGTCCAAGTCTGATTTTCGTGTAATGAATTAATTTCGTCGTTCATAGCATTATTCCATTCATTTTTGTTTGACCCAGTAATTGCCTCATCATAATTCAATGGACTGACACAGTTAGCAATAAAAGTCTGAACATTATACCTGTCCGGCTTCTTAAGTGTATTCCTGTCACGTAGAACCATAACATTTCTATCATCGACTATGTTTTCGTCCTTCTCACGCACGCCCGTTGAATTAATTTGAGTGTCTGTAAACTCTAATATATCTGCAATTACATTTTCATAATTATTACATTCGTCTTCGAATATAATGTCTCTGCACATGGATATTTTATTTGTTTTCGAATACCATACACGATAACCTTTCGTGCTGTTCGAATATCCTACAAATATTCCTTTTTCACTTTTTGGATCCCATTTCTGACGTCTTTGCTTTGGTATGTGTGTATATACCGCAGAACCAAAAACTCGTAAATGTTTAATATCTGGCACGACTTTATAATATAACTCGTAAGGTGGCTTACCAATCTGTGAACTTGTTCCGGTTAGATTAAGTGTATAAACCGCTGTGTTCACAGCTTCTGCCCATAATGACACGTCAAGATTTTTCGCACATATCATCGTCCTGGCAGCTTCTACGATTGTTCTGTTATCACCCTCGACTTTCCCATTCTGTTCCGGCGTATATGCTACCGTAGTTTGGTGTCTTATGCCATATTTCTGTAGAATACCTGTAATATCCTTGTTTACAAATTCTAACCCATTATCTGTCCTTAATATTTTGACTTTAGATCCTGTTTCTGTTTTAACACTTTTTATAAATGTTTCCATAATATTTTTTACTTCATATTTATTCTTAATAAAATATACCGTTCTGTAACGTAGGTAGTCATCTCTAAATAATAAAAAATATTTTGACATACCGATAGAGTCCCTCTGCATCGGTCCACATAAATCTGCATGTATTAAATCACCGACGTTAAAATATTCGGTCTCACTTTTACTGAACGATTGACGGTGTTGTTTCCCGATTATGCAGTCGCTGCATACAAATTGATCGTCCTTGACTGAATAATCAATATTATGTTTTGCCAAACAATTCCTCAAGTATTGAATATTCTGGTGAGCTAAACGCTTATGCCATACTTCTAATCGTTTTTCTACTGCAATGTTCGCATAACATTCAGCTTTCGATGGTGCTTCGACTTTGATCTGTAATTCAAACAACCTACCGCATCTTGTGCCTATGCATACAGGAATCCCGTTTCTTTTAAACACACACGTTTTATTGTCTGACGTTAGTTCTAAACCTTTGTCTAACGCTGACCCGCACGAGAATAAATTAAATTTTAATCCCGGCACGTGCAATACATTTGCCAAGTAATTTTTATTCCAATTACCGTTCACGTATGATAATATATTAATATTAGGTACCTTTTCCTGTTGCATACAGATTTGTTCCGTCACCTATTGTTACCTGTTGTGTATATTTCAATGGTTCATAACTTGTAAACCATTCTAGGTTCTCGCTCATATGATCCGACGCGCCTGAGTCTAAAACCCACGTATCTGTTGTAGTTTCATTTATCCTTGACTCGCTTTCAAATGCATTTAAATTTGTACCTGTAGTACCGGTTTTCCCACCTTTAATACTACTTAAAAAATTCTTACAGTTTCTTTTATAATGACCAATTTTACCACAGTAATAACATTTAACATTACTTTTATTAGTAAATTGTTTTTTACCTTTACCATAACTGCCGTTTTTTCCATCGGATCTGTTTTGAAATTTGGCTGGAAATGCACTCGATTTCTCTTGTTCACCAACTTCACCTTTGATCTGGATAACCCGTGATTCTTCAATCAACAATCGACTAGTCAAATTATTTATATTTTTACTTCCCGTTGGGACTGAATCCCAAGCACTGTAAAAATGATTATATTCTTTTGGTAATGTCATTAGTATTTTTGTCATAACCATGTTATCCGTAACTGGTTCACCCGCTACTCTCAGTTTCCTTCCTAAATTGACCAATTTAGAAATATGCGTCGACATGTCATCCGTCGACTCCTTTGAATAACTGAAAAATTGTTGTTGAAGCAAATGTATACTTGCCTCAGACTTCTGCTCGTAAATACTCAGCAGTTTCTCCCACATTTCCAATGCAGTCTCACAGTTAATCAAATATTGTAATGGACCATCGTCCACTGAGGTAACTATTATTTTCTGACATTTACCGTCCGCTTTTTGCCAACGTTTGTCTGCCTTTGCCAACGTGCTTTGGCATCCTCGTCGGTCTCTCCTGCCGACTTTTTATAGGTAGACTTGGTTTCGTCCATTCACCTGAAACTATCTCACCTACTTCCAAGGCATTTAGAATGACCTTCATCTGGAACTTCCATAAAGGCCAGTTTTCCGTACATAATTTTGTTATTTTCACCGTGTCTTCCATGACCGATGATTTCCCGTATACTTGACCTGTATAACAATTTATAACAAAACTTTACCTATGTACACTGTTCCGCCGTTTTCCGAAATCCAGGATATCTCCGACTGGTTGTAGTTTTCTGCGTTAATACAAATATAAAAATACTTCGATCACGAATCCACTAGACTGTATGTCTTGGTTATTGACTGGGCAAATAACCTATTGAAAGTGAAGCTTGACGGACTAATGATGTTAGCATTATATAATAAGTAATAACACGACAATATGATTATGTATAAGTATAATATATAATAACGTACAACTGGACAATTAAACTGTGACTATACACACACACCTTGTACACTCGGTATGACAGCGTCTGTGCAAGTGATTATTACATACATCAAAGGCCCTATTTATATGAACAATCGAGGCCATCCCGTATCCGTATATAATATAGAAAGCGATAGTAAAGGTGTTACACAGCTATATCGTAACTGCATAAGTATCAATTAGAAAACGACATTGTACACGCACGTGTGTTTACATGGTTTGAATACTAATATTAATTGTATATTTCAACAAACTAAAATTAGACTTATAAGTACTATACAGTTTTATTCTATATGACAAGCATTTTGGTTTTTGAACTGTAATCTCAGTACAATCTAAAACAACCCGTACATTTTTGTATTTCTCAAAACAATAGGGAATATTTGACATAATTTCAAATTTTGATGGCCAATAAATAAAATTTTCAAAAATACTACCTAAAAGAGGTATAGTTGAAATATATATGGACCTAGAAGTTGACAAACTGATATTTAAAAAAAAACAGCTAACACAGCAAAAGAGATATCTTGTTTCAGTTTTATAAATACTAAAATAATTCTTTCCCGTACGCCTAATTGATGGGTTCGAATATCTGGAAACTTTGTACAAAATAATTCAACAATTTTTTCAAGAACTTGAAAAGTAGGTATCCCAGTCTTTGTAATTAATTTTGCTTTGGTGTCTAAGAGTGATACAAATAGAACAGAAATTTCACCAGTGCATACTTGTACAGCAAAGTCTCTTGATTCTACAGTATTTGAAGCTTGGGAAACATTTTCTAAATTGGAATGATTAGTATCACAATTTTTTAACTTCTAAGTATGATACATCAGATATTGAAGGTAATGAACCATATTCATCATTAGATACATCTATTGTTTATTGTAGAGAAAAATCGAAAATCTTGACATGCTGTAACATAATATATTATTTATTTTTTTAAGTTGAAGTACATCTTTACAAAATAAAATCATATAGAATTAGTAAAAAACCTACATTACTTAAAACGTAACTTGTTAAAGACAATCTAGTTTTAGGTGCAGGTCTTTTCTTTGGAGAAGGGTTATATGTTGATATCTTTGGTAAATGTTTGGTAGGAATAACATTTCTTTTAAGACGTCTTGTGATTTTTGGTATGTCTATTATAGAATTACAACAAATAGAAAGTTATTAATTATTAAAACAAGAAAATATTATTTATTATTGCATATTAGAATTTTACCTGGAGAAGACGCAAAGTTATCATCTTCATTAAAGTTCTTAGAACAAATCCTAAGTGATTTCTTCAATGTAGCCTTGTTCATTTTTAAATTTATTGCCCATGCTCTCCTTTTATCGATTATTTCTATTTTACCATTTTTGTTAGTCCATGGCACATTACATTCCTTCTCCTTGGGAAACCAATGAAAACTAATAGATTTGTCACTTGAATAGTAGGTATTGCATCCAAATACAGAACAGTACACTCTACATTTCTTTTTTTCGGTCATGGTCTTTAAAATCACTTACTACCAATTAAAGAATAAAATCAACTAACATTAAGTAAAAGGCAAAAACTAGATATATTATTCAAATGAGAAATCGTAATCTAAACAACACCGACACATAATAATTATTAAACAATACACATGACCACAGTGACACAGTGTGCATCAGGAGGGTCTAACTCTATACGGCGGGTGTGATACATACTTTTAAGACACGCGACATACCATCCTAACAAAATTCCGGGTACAGGGTAGTTGTCAGAAAAATGATAAGAATGTTTCACCACGATTTATACCAGTGATCCAGCAGTAAACAAAAATCATCGCAATAATAATTACAGTCGACATATAGACAACACTAATGACAAAATCTTAATAATAATATAAATAATATTATATAGGAATACAATTAAATATTATAATATTTAATGTCTTTAATACCGCCTTTATAAACAATAAATAGATAATAAATAATAATTTTTAATAAAGGAAAAGCGGCAATATTTATCAAATTTAAAATTTAATAATTCTGTGGCTTGATGCAAGAAGGGCCAATGTCATATTTTGACGAAATTAAGATCATCGGGCCTTTTTTTTTGCTTTTTCTTTTTTTTATTCTGATAAAACGGCCAATGTATTTGAAAGTAATTAAGTAATAGCATTTTTAGAGTTCCTACATAAAATTTAAAATTTTTATGTAAATTTTAAAAATTGGCCAATTTAATATTTTAATTCCTGAACATTGTCAAAATTTGACATTGGCCCTTCTTGCACCAAGCCACAGAATTATTTTGTAGTTAAAAATGTATAACATTTTAAACTTGTATAGCTAAGGATTGAAAATTTAAACAAAGGTTCTATGTAAATAGGTTATATATAAATTACTTTATTCACAATAATATCATCATATTATATACTTGGTATTTAAAATGTAGTCTTCGCTCAGAATTGTTTTTCTATTATAATTATAAAAATTATAATAATTCAACTTAACCGACTAACATAATTATTATTATTAATTATAATAGTTAATTTAGATAATTACCATCCATTACAGTGCCTCACTTATAACCTACTGTACAGCAGAGTGCCGCCCACTTGCCCACCTTTTTTTTTTATATATGTAATATTGTATTTAATAATTATACCACTATAGTTATATTTAATGATAAACTATATGAAAAGATTACTATGATTTCTACTTGAGGAATTTCCAGTAATAAAAATTTATTTTACTCTATATTATACCACAAGTTATATCTTTTATCTAGTTATATCTAGTGAATAACTTGTGGTACAATATAGAGTAAAATAAATTTTTATTACTGGAAATTCCTTATGAGAAATCGTAGTGACCTTTTCATAGTTTATCATAAAATATAACTAGTGGTATAATTATTTGAGTGAACAAGATTTAGTCTGCTGACAGTCATTGAAAAGAATAAGTGTTGTTTGACAGTCATTTTATTTTTGTTTTAATTTAAAAATTGTTTGTATAAAGCATGGCTTTTAACGGCGTTGATGAGCTTTTGGATCACGATTATTTACAAGGTAGTTCTACACTTCTATTCTATATTATTTTTATAATAAATTGATATATTTTAATGTAACTATGTATTTAAGTATTTAACTACTAACATGGTTAACTATATTTTTAAATTAAAATAAATAAATAATTGATTAATGACTAAATATTTTTAATAACTTGAGTAATTTTAGTAATTATCTTTTCCATTTAATATATAGTACCTACAACATGAAGTGATTGAAGTTGAAGCAACTGATGGTATACTGTTTAAAAAAATATCATAAAAGGTCATGTTCAATTATAGAAAAACAATTTTTTTTTTTACAATGTTCAGTTTTGGCCAGTAGGTGAACGGCCACATTCATATAGTTTAATACCAGGTGTTCATCAACATGAACATATCATTAAAGACAATCTAGGGTTTCTTTACTTTAAAAGTAAAAGATTAGAAGACAAAGTGTAAGTCATAAAATATTTTAATAAGACTATTTTGCGTTATCATTTGAAATTCAGAGTTAAATTAATAAATTATTTCTTTTAATTTAGGTACTTAAAATGTAAAGAGATATGCCCAGCCACTGGTTCAATTTCTTCTGATGAAAATAATAAACGTTTTCAACTGCGGAGGTTACATAACCATGACGTGCGACCATCAGATATAGAAATGAGAAGAACTCCGCAGTTCAATTGGAAATCGATGTGTTCAACAAATTGCTCGGCCATACTCAGCACGATCTTTATATGTAGAAGCAATTGTTAGGTAACTTTAAAAATAAATTAACTTTAAAATAACCATCACATACCTATACAAAATAACTGTTTAATACAACAGCCATCCTGAAGGAGCTGAAAATTATACATTTTCCCAAGCTGCTGAAAGGATGCGGCAAATAAGGAAAACAGTGTTTCCCCCAACACCAAGGAACCTGCAACATTTTAATTATTTATTACAAATGGATAATAATAAACATTTTACTATGTCGTTTCAAAAACAGCCAAGTTTGTATGTATTTTAACAACAATAATACAATATAATAATTATACACTTCAACAATGATGTAGGAAATGGATACCGGATTAGTACTTCAGGGGCGCCATTTGGGGGGGGGGGCAGGGTGGGCACTCGAACACCCTGTAATTTTGGTGTCCACAATTGGCCTAGGCCTCATTAATACTATGGCCTTCAGTTTGCTTATCTTTAATTGTGCATGCACCGCAGCTATTCACTGACAATCATAAATTATATTATAATATTATTGTGTTCTTCAATTTGATAATTGATAAATTGATATCGGTATCACTTCATCCACAGGCACACACAAATATGTGTAATTGGTAAATGGTTACTGATAAACAACAGACATAATAATACGCATCTATTCTATCTAGAAATATCTTTACTAAAGTCCTGATTTTTTCAATCCAAAGTGTTCCTATCTTCATTCATTTATAAACCACTATAATTATTTTAAAATAAATATATCCAAAATGTTAACAGAATTTCCATCTGCCAAATCATTGCTTCAAAGCAATACAATTATTCAAATAAATTTTGATTCTATTGTATCGTCTTTATCACAACTTCCAGCAGCCTTTTCTGAAACTTTAAAAATAATTTCTATACTAAAGATTCTTCCAATTACCTACTACTGCTTCAAATGAACGATTCTTTTCATCCCTTAAAAATGTTAAAACTTTCTTACGTACTACAATGGGAGATAACAGACTGAGTGATCTCATGGTCTTAAATTTAGAGAAAGAAGAAGCTAAGTGCGTAGATTTATATAAAGCTGTAGATGCATTTTCAAATATGAAGCAACGGAGATACCCGCTTAAATAATAATCTATGCTGTTATGCCTTTATAATTATTATTACCTATGTTATTATTTTATATTAATTATATTATTAATGTAAACTATTAAAGTATAAAAGTCGTTATAATAATAAACTATTATATTTCAAGTTGTTTATTATTTCTATTGCATTGCACGCTTTGCTTTACTTTATGCTTAAGTCATAAACTCAGCTTTGAATAATTAATTTGTATTTTGTTTGATATCCTATTTGAATATTTTATATTTAGTTTATTAATGTATGTGTTATCTATGAAAATATGTTTTTATTAAGTATGTTTTTGATACTAAAAATTCTGTAATGAAAAACTGAAAACACTAGAAACGTTTTTTTAACGATTGGCCTGGAGGTGGGAAAAAATTGGCCTCTTTAATTGTTTGCACACCTTAAAAAAAACTGAAATGGCGCCCCTGTAGTACTTATTATACAAGTTAGATTTAGGTAACATAAGTGTACATACTTGTTTTAATACAAAATAATAATTTAATCATAGTCTCAATTTCCTATTTCGTTACAACATACTCTTAGTTAATAACTGTAGATACCTCTTTAATTTTTTGTGTTACCTACCCCAGATTTTATCAAGGCCCACTCATTGTTGATGGTTCGTTTGTTGGTGTACTATTTTGTAATAAACATCATATTGAGTCAATTGAAAGCGAATTTCATAATGTAAGTCATCTAGTCTGGTTGAAGAAATAATAGAAGACTTTCTAAAAAATTAATTTTTAGGTTAAAATATCTGGGTGCGACGGAACATTCAAGACGGTTCCCAAAACGTTGGATAACGACTGCTATCAATTATTCACCTTCCAAGTGATACACAGAAATGTTGTAAGTAATAAATTGTACATCACACAATAAATCATCTTGTTTTGAACATTTTAGTACCTATCTACTTAAAATATTAATATTAATAACATTTTAACCAACAACTATTTATTTTTTTAAAGTTTTCCAATGGTATATGCAATACTTACAGGTGAAACTGAAGAAATATATGTTGGGTTATTTAAATTTGTCCGTAAGGTTTTACCACTACAATATGATAAATTGACCATCATAACTGATTTTGAAGTTGGACTAATTAATGCAATACGATTAGTATTTCCGGAAAGTAGCCATCAAGGATGCTATTTCCATTATTGTCAAGTATAAATTAATATATTAAGTATATAATATATTTATTAACAAATTAATAAAAATGTATTTTCAATGTTTTGTCTCAAGTCAGTTTTACGGCCCCTGAGAAATAAAGAATTATGCATATACAATTTGGTAAAAGCCAATCCTATTGCTGCCAGAATTTTTAGAATGGTATTAACCAAATTTTAATTATTCTATGAACATATTAAAATACAGTAGCTTAACCATACATTTTACAGGTACTTGCTCTGCCGTATTTCGCACCTAATTCAAATGAAAATAGGATTCCCAGCATGTTAGATGGTTTCAATTCTATTATCCTGTATATTGTACAACATACTGAAATAACCGAGTATTTCCATAGTTTCATGTACCAGTATGTATTTGGATATTGGTTTGTAAGAATGCGACCAGAAGCCTTCACTGTATTTGACAAGGATATCAGGACAAATAATTATCTGGAGAGCTATCACGCAGCTCTTTTACGGTTCATTAAACCTCACCCTAAAATATGGTAATTCATGGGTATAATTTAATGTAAAAAAAAAACGTTTGTGTTGGTTTATTTGTGTAAGTTTTAGTGAGGTTATAGATACATGTAATACTATCTTATGAATATTATAGGAATATTGAAATATAGGTATTACCTTTAATAGTATGTGTATATAATTATGTATTAATTACAATGTTGGAAAGCATTTTTTTTAGTGGCTTCAAGATCTTTGATGGAATGTGCAATACTACTGTAGTTGTTTTTCTCTATGTTGTTGTTACTTGTTCATCTAAAAAAATAAATGTATAGGTTGAGTATCTATGTCTGAGTGTTATATATGTAATTGTCACAGATAAATAATAATATAATATATATATATTAGTTATATATCTGTGGTAGGTAATTGTATGAGTAAAAAACAAATAATTAAACTTACAATTCTTTATTTTTGAATATTTAAGGTCATATACGATTCCTAGAAAACCAACATAACTTGGAATTCAAACAAGTCTCTCAAAACTTGAATGTAAATAACATAGAGTCAACATATTTTTTAGGAACAGTTAAAATAATTGTTTTTTTTTTCAGATCCGTTCTGGTAATTCGTCAAGAGCAAGAATTAGGAATAGAAATACTTCTGAAATTAGACAGTTTATGCAAGACATGATAGAGGATGATGCTCCTGATCGCATACTAACTTTTTTAACGACAGGTCATCAGGTTGATGGTTACATAACCCAACAAATTGGCCCATATCCGGGTAATAAGAATGTTCTATTAATTATTAACAAAAATTATTATTTATTAGTAAATCTAAATCATAACTATAACTAGAGACCGTATTGCCATATTGGGTTCAAATTTGAATATTTTATAAAAATCTAATAGATAATAAAAAAAATTTAATTTTTATTATTTAAAACTTGTTATTATTATTATTATTTGAGTTCATAAGGCTTAATTATTTATGTTTGAGTTATTTTAATACATAATATTAATCTGTTGTTGAACTATACAGGGTGTCTTAAACAGTACTGACATATGGAATAACTTTTATGGTATTCGATATTTTTTTTTTTTTTTTTTTTTGTTTTATTTGTAGACGCTTGCGCTACATGTTTTATATAAAAAAAAATTTTTTACTTTTTTAATTCTGAAAATAAAAAATTTTAAATTTTATAAAAAATGTATTTGAAAAATTCAAAATAGCCAATTTATAAAGCCGATTTTTAGAAAAATTTTGATGGTTCAAATATTTATAAAAGTGTTGCCGTTAATTTTCTACAAATTATTTAGTTTTTGGAAATATGAACAATTTTTTCCTTTATCATACCAAAATAATCAACAACCATCAGTCATCACTGTTACTATACCCTGTTCAAAATAAGAAGCGACCTGATTTACGCTTGAAAACCGGTTTTACTAGTGGCCGCCGAATCGCTTCTTAAAATGAACAGACTATAGTATTAATGACTATTATCGATTTATTTTGTTTATCGAGTTTTCATATGTTTTCAGTTATCATTTACTAATATCATTGATGACAATCACAAAATACCTGTTATCAAAATGGCTTATAAAGTTATAGTACTTTTATTATTTTTTCCTCTGATTTTCGTCAGTATTAGCAATCAGTATAGTTGAATCATTTGAGTTCTAATAAATAAATAATTATATTATTAATAACTGTTATTATTTTAGTAAGCTTGTTATTATTATTCAAAAATTCTCGTTATTGTGTTATCAATGTACCCACCAATTCACCATTCATCATTTTAACGTCCATCAAATTTGAGGATTTGTTTCATGTGTCCAAACACTGGAGTGCTTGAAACTGTGAATGCATTATAGATTATTCATGACAAATTTGTCATGGGATTATTTATGTATTACTCACCAAAACAAAATCAAGTTGAACAGTATCTTACAATGCAAGAGTGACACAAATGTTAAAATCGGTCACATACAGAATAAGGTATCATGTCCACATCCATATGTGGCTTAACTACAGAATATATGCAAAATATATTCCATGTGGTTTCAAGAAATGTTCCACAAATTAAATTGATATACATTTCTAAGAAATTAATCACCATCACGGCATCACTTACAAAAACAAAATTAGTTAAACGAAGTTACCACACTATTGGAGAGTGGAGACGTAAGTATACATAATAGTTATTTTTTTCGGTGGTTTTACGATAGGATGTCTGCAATTTAAATTATTTTGACAATAACATCAACAAACTATTTATGGGTACTAATAAACTATAATACATTTTATTCTTTGATGAAAAAACTACAAAATTAATGAGCTATGTACTTAAAAATATATTTACCTACCTAAAAAATAAATAATTTGAAATTTTTTTTTTATTAAGGAAATAAATGTTGTTTTCTCCAAAACTCTTTAAATGCGAGTAAGTCAATCAATAATAACAGTCGAATTTGAGTATATTGTGACTATATTTCCCAATTGGATCAGCAAATGAAAATTTATATTTTCTGATACATGTTCTGTGTACATTTAAATAAGTATGGAATAATAAATACTTATGTTGTACATTTTTGAACAGACTACACAATAGATAAGTAAGTACGAATATTTTTAACAATAAAATAATTAAATCTAATAATTATATTACCCCTCTTTTTATAGTAGCTTTTATGAAACATGAAATATCAAGTTGGACTACCAGTTTTGTAAATTATGCAGATGAAACTTTGGTTGTATATTTAAAGTAATTAGGTTAAGTTATTGAATTGTAATAAAATAACTAAGACTCATGAGATTTTTTTACATTTAAAATGGATAATTTAATATTTTTCTAATATGAAACTTCTATGCTATATTTGAAGAAATGTATAACATGAAATACCTACTAGTTTTTTCTCATTCTCAAATTCAGATACATAGTGACTGTTCTCATTTTTAAGCCTTTGGGACTTGGTTTTAATGAATGACAATTCTGTAAATAATTATTTTATGTTCATGTAGCATTGTAGGATTTACACTGTGGTTTAGTATAAAATCATATTTTATACAAAAATCACTTAACGAAAAGTTATCTAAAATATTTAAATTGTACATAGATGACATAAAGTGTCCCGTTAACAAATTTAAGAACTATTTATTAAAAAATTCCAATTCGGACAGTTGATTTTCAACATTGTTTTTCGATATTTTAAATTAAACAACTAAGAAACTTAATATTTCAGAAATAAATTGTCACACTGATAAAGTAAACCTTTTTAGTCTATTGCAACTCACAAAAACATTCTAACCTAGATATGAGTAAACTTTCCATCTATTAAGATAGATAGTAAAATATATAAGTAAAATTATTAAGTTCTAAATAGTTGTACAGTAATACAACATTCATAGCCCTCAAAATAAATTGTAATTTACAGTAGTAAATATAAAAAGTGTAACAGAATGACCTGACAAATAAAAATTAAAAATTGATAATAGTAAAAACATACCACAAAAGTTATTAAAATGACATGCATAATAAATAATTTAAGAAATATATTTTATTTATTTATTCCTTAAAAATATTGATATTTAAAAAAATGATTGTAAAAAATAAACTATTTCACTTAATAAACATTTTTACCTTCAAAATTAGACAAAGTATTAAAAAATGTTAAACTGTACTTGTAGCACAAGCATTTATAAATGATATACATACATATTATACATATTTTACATATAAAAAAAAGTGGTAAAATATTGATTAGAACCAAAGTTATTTCATGTGTTAGGTTATTATGTTACACTTTGTTACTACTTATGTTTATTAAATTTTAATTAATTTATGTTGAGTTGTGGACATGTCAAGTGTTAATATTTTTTATTAGATGTGAACATACCCAAATTCTGCAAATATTTGCTATATTCAAATTGTCATTATATTCAAATTCAAATTTGTCTATATTCTAATGAAACTATTGATAACTAATGTGTTCATTACCTTTTATAAATTATTACCTTTTTTTACATAATGAGATAAGTCAGAAGTAGATGAATTTGGGAGTGATTCCTATTAATTATTATTAGATTTAAGTTTATTTAGAATTTTATATATTTATTTAGACTGTTATACCTACATTTATTTAATAAGTAAATTTTTTGGTAAAAATAACTGTTACCGATTTGTTTTTATCATTGACACCACTTTTTTTATCCTCACAAGTCAACAATTTTTGTTTAAGCAAGTTCTAA